CTTCGTCCCGGACTCTCTGTGTGAGCGCTCAGGTATCGCCTGGCTGCAGTCTCCACCGGACCCTGCTGCCGCCGCCGCTGGCGGTGGCTGCTGGCTAGCGATCAGATGTGTATTCTTGCCTTGGCTCTCCCTCTCCTGTCTAACTCTCTGTCCTGTGATGGCACACTTGGTGTGTTTCTCTGGCTTGGGACTGTTCACTGGAACTCTAAAACTGCTTTCTATGCGAGAGCTTGTTCAGATTCCAGCTTCTCCTCCGCCATCTTGTCTCGATCTTATATAATTATCTTGATCTAATTAAACAGCAGACAGAAAATGACACATCTTAGGCCATATATATGCCAGCAAGATTGAGCTTTTCCACAGTGTATACATATTTTGACTAATGAATACATTTTTATTTGTCCATTGAAACATAAGAGTATTCAAACATTTCAAAATAAGGTAATGATCTATAGCTTCTATAGTGATTTTAGCTCCAGATCTGTTAGTTTGTAATACTCTTTTAAAGTGTTGGAAGTACTAACTCTTTTCCTACAATATTAAACATAAACAATCTTGCTAATAATACGATGGGCTGCTCCGATGTTTACAGAAGTGTTTACAGAAGTGTAAGTAGTTCTTTCTTTTGGAGACTGAATTTGACAATTTTTGACATTTTGTTTGCCATTGTCTCAAAGCCAAATAATAAGTATGCCTGTTGCTTTACCCCCATTCCATACAATGTCTCAAATAAATATTTTAGTAAATTACTCTGAGTAAAGAAGCATTAAAAAAATCCACTAAATATTTTACCTAACCTTATTTCATCACCCATACACACTGCAAAAAATTTTAAATGTAAGTGCATTTCATATTCCAAGAATAAGTTATTTTAAATGCACTTTATATCACTGAATCATTTCAATAAAATTCCTTTCTGTAAAATAAATGAGCTTTAATCATATTTTTAAAAAAATATTAAAGTATTGCTTAATTAAAAATTAGGGTGGAAAAAACCATCTTTCTCTGGTAGAAATAATTCCAACAAATATCCCTATGTAGCAAAATACACTGGGTGAGGAAGGCATTTTCTCACAAAGAATTAGAAAACAATAATAGAGAAATTGGGAACTTATTATAAAAAGGATAGCCTACGCATTGAACTCAGGTGTAAGTATGTGTATTCTCTCAAATTAAAAACTGACATGGTTTCTTTCTTCTTACGGAAGAAAGATGAGGAAGAATGAAGTCAGATGAGGGTAAAAATCCCATGAAAAGCCAAAGAATTCATGGCTGTTTCTTTCATTCCTACCAATTCTTTTGAGAGTGAGAAGATAGCTCTGATTAGAACGCTTAAGCAAAAGCTAAGTCTCTTTCTTAAATTTATTTATAAACCCTTTAGTGTATGAAAAAAAAAAGATTTAATCATAAGATAGATTCCAGTATGGACTCCTCAGCCCTTGCGAAGGGGCGGAGATTTAAATTTAACTATGTGACACAAATGTTTGCAACTCTCTCGGAAACAAGGCTAGTTCAGCTTTCCAGTGGAAGCTCCGCTCTGCCCAGTTTCGTTCCATGCTCCATGGAGAGTGTTCTGCCATTGTTTCTGAGTCTTCATGGAATGATTTTTGATCTTTGTTTCAGCCTTTGAAATCCATGGAGCAGAATGGGCCAGGACTGGAGTACAAAGTTAGTTGGAAACCCCAAGGAGCCCCCGAAGAGTGGGAAGAAGAGACGGTTACAAACCATACGTTGCGGGTGATGACACCGACCGTGTATGCTCCCTACGATGTCCAAGTCCAAGCCATCAACCAGCTGGGGTCTGGGCCAGAGCCTCAGACAGTGACTCTCTATTCTGGAGAAGACTGTAAGTGATGAATTAGAATCCTCAAGTACATTGCATTGGTGTCCCTAAACATTTTTTAAGGAAAGAAATGTTGAGCACAAAGACCAAAGAAGAGGATACTAGCTGTAAGGCAAGGGGAAAAGGAAATAGACACAGGCTTTTGCACCTGCAGGCTGAGTGATTGCAAGCCAGTTATTCACGAGAGGGCTAAAAAAGGACTTGGAAAGTTTTAATCTGATTCAGTACCCCAGGAAAGGTGTTTCTGCTTTGAAAATCACCTATGTGGCCTCATCAGTACATGCAGTTAAGCAACAGAACTGTCTTGAGATTTTTTCAAGGTTTCCTACAAGATGTTCTAACAACCACCTGCATCTGTGCCTTGGGCTTTCTGTGGGTCTATAGTCTTACCTGCACCAATGAGATACAGACCCAGATTTCCATAGACAATGGCACATAGGTACGCATACACTGCTCTGAAGTGCTGATAACAGGACTATGATATTAAATATGCAGAGCAAAGGAAGTGCTGCAGTTTCATTGTTGGTTAATGTAGACACTATAATTTGTATCTCTCAACATTAGAAGGTTTTTTTCCTCATTCTTCCAGTAGCCACATGAATATTTTGATCTAAAAATACAATAGGTAAAGAATGAGAAAGAATGCCTTTTTCCCTCTGCTGTCCAAATTCATCTATTCAAGTATGAACACACAGAAATCTCCTTCGTGACCATTTGTTTGGATGACCATGGGTTTGGCTAATTCCTCTGTAGTCATCTGTAAAATGTGACAATAATCACCATGTCATACGGTTCTTTTAAAGATTAGGTGAACCAAACCAGGTGTAGTGGGATGGCATGTATGCTTGATTAATGACAACTTTTTTTTATTAGTAGTAAACAATATTCCCCACTAACATTCACACTGTGAGGTAGATCATTTGCTTCCAAATGACAAGGTGTTCACCAAAGAATATTGCACTTGCCATTTTTATTTTTTAATTGTGTATGTATGTGTGTGTGTTTGTGTGTGTGTGTGTGTGTGTGTGTGTGTGTGTGTGTGTGCGCGCGCGCGCACATGTGCTACACCTGGGGCTTAAACTCAGAGTCTGGGTGCTGTCCCTGAGTTTTTGTGCTCAAGACTAGTGCTCTACAACTTTTAGTTACAGTATCATTTCTGGATTTCTTTTTTTTTAATTTTATTTATTTATTATTGTGAAAATACTGTACAGAGGGGTTACAATTACATGGGCAAGATAATGAGTACATTTCTTATCAAGCATTTTGCCTCCTCCTTTGTTTCCCCTTCCCATCCCTCCCTATCCTCCCCCCCCTGCCCTCCCTCCCACCCACTATGTGTCAAAGACCTTTCTACCTGGTCTGGCTTTGAATTGCAAACCTCAGATCTCAGCTTCCTGAATAGCATGAGCCACTGACGCTTGGATTAATTATACACTTTTTTCTCTTTAAGTAATTTTTACAAAGGCGTATACCAGCCAACAAATCAGTTTCTAACCTAACAATGCGTCTTGATCAATACCGCTCTTTCGTCACTGGTCAGTGTTCTAGTTATTTCTCCTGGTAGCCCCACTGTCCTCTTCTCCTAGCAATCCATGTGGCTGAGAAAGTTTCTGCCAGGAAACATTTTCTGGTTCACCAGCGTGAAACCGATTCAACATTATAAAAGTCATCTCTGGAGGAGGACTATGCCAATCAGGTTTGGTGGTTGATGGAAGCTCATCAGTGTTTAATGTCTTATCAGATCCTGACACAGCTCCAGTGATCCATAGTGTGGACATCATAAATAGCACCTTAGTCAAAGTGGAGTGGTCAACAATTCCAAAGGACAGAGTGCACGGACATCTGAAAGGATACCAGGTTTTTATCTGTTTTCTTATTTTATTTTGACTTGGTGCTATTGAATTTGTATCTTTCCTCTGATTTCAGAAACTAAGAGAGGACATCCACCCACCACGCCCTGGTCACCAGGTTCAAGGGTTCATATTTTCATTGCAGGTCAATTGGTGGAAAACCAGAAATCTATTGGATGGAAGGACACATCCCAAAGAAGTGAACATTCTGAGATTTTCAGGACAAAGGAATTATGGAATGGTTCCTTCCCTCGATGCTTTTAGTGAATTTCACTTAACAGTCTTAGCCTTTAACTCCAAAGGACCTGGTCCAGAAAGTGAGCCTTACACATTCCAAACACCAGAAGGAGGTGAGAGGAACAAACAAAGAAGACTAACACCTAGCATGCCTATATTTCTGTCCTCATTAAGAATTAATATGAACTTTGTAGTAGTTAACTTCTTCATTTCTATAAAATTTTAAATTTGATGGCATAGGAATGGACCAATTCATTTGAATATTCATTCATGGTCTTGTGTTTTCTAGTACCTGAACAGCCATCTTTTCTCAAGGTCATTAAAGTTGATAAAGACACTGTCACCTTATTCTGGGGATTACCTAAGAAGCTAAATGGAAATCTAACTGGCTACCTATTACAGTATCAGATTAGTAAGTAAACTTGAATTGGGATCAATGTTCTAATAACTCAGTTTTACATGAAATATTTGGCTTGCTATTTTCTTGATACAATGATGACCTAAGTCATAGTTGTATGCTGCCATACCTCTCTACAGCAAAGATCTGTCAATGAGCTTGCAGGAAATGATCACTTACAGAATTGATTTGCTCAGTGATATTCTATTGAAACATCACCACATTCACTATTTATCTATTATCCAGAACTGTTTGATCTAGAGTGGCAAACTTGAGTTTTGTCAGAGAAGGTACAAGGTCCTCAGAGTTGACAGCCTGGTCTTGGTAGAAAGGTTTGTTGACTGGTACTCCAGAAGTAGAACCAGGATTCCAACAGATGCCAGGAAATATGTGTTTGCTACTACCTATAAGCCTTTAGAAACACAGAGCAGAGCAGAATTAACAACATAATTGAGAGTCAAAGAAGAGGATCTCTAAGATCCTCTTCTACATCACATATGGAGTCCAGCCTCAACACTAAATATACTCATGTAGAATCCTCTATTAGTAGCCTGCTGGTTCCAGCAGATAATATTAAGAAGACCACAGAGTTGTCTTTGCACCATTACTCAGGATAATCTGTCCACATGTTTTAGTTTAAACACATTCAGATCATATATAAAATCGCTAACTCTAACCTCTAAGTCTTCAAAATTACTTATCATCTCAAAATGGAAATTAGTGAGCCTAAACCATAGAACACGGTATTAACCATAGAAACATAAAAATGTTAGATGTTGAGGACATGGAGCCAAGACTGCTAGAAAGAATCAGACCACCTCACTTGCCAAAGCCAACCCTGTTCAGACCCTCTGGCATCATGGAAGAGCTTCTGCAATTAACGTATGCCCTAGCTCTGACTAATTCCCATGGCTTCTGCTCTGAGAGCAAAGTCTGTTTATCTAGATATGGGCAAAACTCCCAAGGAGATAGCATTTGAGGGTTTCAACCCTGGCTGTGTGGCAGGCTCTTCCTATGTTACTTCATGAAAAGAAGCAAGCTGCAAGATAACACTAATGAAGACCCAGTGAGTCCCTGCTTCATATGGATGGAGGAATGAAAGCAATAGAAGCCATACATTAGAGCCCCATAATGAAACAGGATCATGTATGGATGCAAATCCACCTGCCTTTACTGAGCTGTCACACCGCATTCTACCATGCATCCGTTTAAAAAAAATAACATTGCCAGAACCGAAGAAAAATCGGAAGAGTTCTGGACTGTTTGATAAAAATGTGTCTTATTCTTAATAATAAGAAACTCAACATCATTTCAATCCCAATCCTTGTAGTAATCTGTATGTAAGATTTAAATTTAAAAAAGAACAAAGTTCTTAAAAATAGGGGGAAATGGAATATTAAGAATAATTGTAATTGTTAGTTTATTCCTCCATAGGTTCATTTTAAAATAAAATATATATTTTTGTCTATTAAGTGCTTGAGATGGTTTAAGTAGTTTGTTTTTTATTGCTATTTGTACTACATTGCTCTCTATGTTAAGTATATATCTATGCATCATAGATATCCTATCTATAATATGTATCTACTTATGTATTTTATCTATCTATTGCCTATCTATCTATCTATCTATCTATCTATCTATCTATCTATCTATCTATCTATCTATCTATCTATCTATCTATCTATCCACCTTTCCCAGAAAATGCAAAGCCTAGAGTTGAATCCCCAATCCCACAAAAAAGGAGGAAAAATACTTATATACCATAAGTAAAAATTAAAACAAAACACACTGTAACTTTAATGGTTAAGTAACATGAAATTTGAGACATTGTCCATGCTTCTTTCTTTAGTAAATGACACCTATGACATTGGAGAGTTGAATGAGATCAACATTACCGGCCCATCAAAAGCCAGCTGGCATCTGTCAAACCTTAGCGCAGCCACCAAGTACAAGTTCTACCTGAGAGCTTGCACTTCTAAGGGCTGTGGAAAGCCAGTCACAGAGGAGAGCGCAACCTTAGGAGAAGGGAGTAAGTACCAGGGGCCTTTGTGTGTCGTGGCTTCTTAAAGCACCGTCCTGACAGAGAGACACCTTGCTCTTCATTGTAAACTACAAGGGACTGTGATCCTAATCTGTCTGACCACCACAGACATAGAATCAAAACCTATTGCAAGTCCTTTTAAAGCTCATACTGCCTCATGTGATGGATTTCCAAACCACAGCCATCCAACAAACCACAGTTTCCTGTAGACAGGGCCAGGACCCATAATCCATCTTTAATTAAAATAGGGGACCCAAGGTGATCAAATTGTTCATGAGGTGTTAGTAGAGAGAGATTTCTCTTTAGGAAATGTGTCCATAAAGAAAAGCATCTGCCTTTTTTCCTTGGAAGGTATGCTTCCATGCAGAATCTGATATACTACGAGCTACTTTCATGCCTTAATACAGACGTACAGGGATTCGTATGTTAATTTTATTGTATTGTCTGGTGATGTGTTTCAAGCCACTAAGTTAAAAAATGACCAAGTGATCTATAGTTTCATTGTAATACTTCCCCTAATCCAATCAAGCTTTCTATTTGTTCCTACCCTATCACATTTCTCTTCAGAAATTATTTCTCCAATTATGATTTAGCAGTTCTTGTTAAGCTTTCTGTTATAGCCATAGGACATCATTGGAAATAAGAAAGTAGAGTAATATTGTAAAATAGATTGGAAAAACTGACTTACACTCTATTCAGAAGGTGCTTTATGGCATGACAGCTCCTTTGTCCAACTACTTAAAAGAGAAAAGAAAGTGGGACTGTGAATGATTCCGGCTGGTCAGACATGAGAGGATTTGAGAGAGAAGCAATATCTAGAAAGTAGTGAATGAAAATTAAATTGTCATTTATTAAAGCTATTTCTTATAATAGGCTCAATTTGTGAACCACTAAGTCAGTGTGCTTGGGTGTTAAATAGTTCCCCTTCCCCTTTATAGTCAATTCTTCCTCCTCAGTCTAGATAAAAAAAGCATTCTTATTCTTTCCAAGCTTCTTTAATATTTAAATTCCCTTATATGTAAAGAGTATATATTTTCAAATGATACCCCTAAACTCCTATGGCTTATTACCAAGGATGGATCAAGTAACAAATGTAACTGAAAAATTCACTCTTCACAAATGATAGGTATATCCTAGTCTGTTTAAGAGTATTGAAGGAAAATATTCATGACATTACTTACAGAGGTTACATGTTCTACCCTGTATATTGAAAATTTTCATCTTGGTGGCATTCACATTTGACAAAATGATTTTATGGAGGATGGCTATAATGTGTGTTTTTGATGTGTAATGTGTGTGTGTATACACGTGTGTGTGTGTGTGTGTGTGTGTGTGTGTGTGTGTGTGTGTGCCCATGCAAGCATGTGTGCTGTGACCAGAGCTTGAACTCGGGGCCTGGGCCTGGTCCTGTCTCTTGAGCTTTTGTGCTTGTGGCTAGTACTCTATACTCTACCCCTTTGAGCCGCAGCCACAGTGCCACAAACAGCATTTTGTTGGCGGACTGGAGATAAGAATCTTATAGACTTGTGGGCCAGGGCTGACTTGGAACAGCTATCCTTAGATCTCAGCCTTCTAATTAGCTGGGATTACAGGAGTGAGCCAGCTTTTGGTTTTTCTATAACCCCTGTCACATTTCTGCCAGCTAAAGCTATAACTGGTGAGTTTGTATGTCTCCAAGCAGATTTCTTCTTTCTCCTATGTGTCCCTCATTAACATACTCCCTAATCATGCTCATGTTCTTTTTTTTTCAGATCTGTGTTTTCACTCTTCCAGTGGCTTTCCCTCCTTTCCCAGTTGACAATGATGTCTCCTCTGTCAGCATGCTTTGCCATGTTTATGAGATAAACATTGTCTCTCTCTCTCTGTTCTTTTCTGCTCTCTCTCTGCTCTCTTGCTGCTCCATTTTAGCTCTCTCTGCTACCTATCTCCCTCTCTGTACCTCTCTCTCTCTCTCTGTTCCTCTCTGCTCTCTAGCTGCTCTCTTCTAGCTCTCTCTGCTCTAGCTCTTTCCTCTTTCTCCCAGCTCTCTCTCATTCCCAGGCCTTTCCCAGCCACGTGGAGTGCCAACCTTGCCTGGTCCCAGCAGGTCTACTGAATAAACCTACTCCTTACCTGAAAAAAAAAGAGATAAACATTGTCATATCTCGTCCACTTGGCTTTCAACATGGTCTTTGAAAATTAGATATATTTCCACAAAGGAGATACCTTTTGATTTAGCTAAACATCCTAAAAGTGATAACTTTGGTTAAATGGCAGACTAAATCTGCATATTTTCCCTCTTCTTCCTCTGGCTGGAGAGTATATTTTAAGCACAGTTGCACAGCATGAGATTTAACAGGCATGCACTTTTGTCTCTGTGTGTGTGTGTGTGTGTGTGTGTGTGTGTGTGTGTGTGTGTGTGTGTCTGTGTGAAGGTTTTCTAGTTGTCACTTCAGGTTTCTGGCCACACAACCTAACAGGGAAAGGAAGGAGTCAAAGAGAAGTGTGTTCGTGTATTGTCTATGTTTGAATAAGTCACTTACTTTTCTCTATTTTCTCCAAACTTGCACTGCCTAACATACTAATATTTCTGGTTTTTCAAGGCCAAAATCAATTGCATTCTATATTCAGTGAATCTTCAAAGCACTACTCAGCTCTTAAACTGGCCTGCTTTCCTTTCATGGTGTCGTTCTAATAACGCCATCTTGTTATTCAGTGACTATCTATTCAGTTTTTACTCTGTGGTAAAAAATTTAAACCAAATATTGATATGTAACCTGCCCACTTAAAAGTATACAAGCCCTTCCATTCTCATTATGGACTGTATTTTATTTCATGTATAGGTTGTGATCATTTTCTGATTCACTATTACTATATTGAATTTATTTCTAGCAAAAGCAGGGACTAAGTGCAGAAAGATACTTGGTTACAAGATTTTAAAAAATGCATCTTTAATTACGCTTAACCCTTTCATCTGTTTCTGTAATATTTTACTATTAATACATTGGCATTTTAATAGTCCTTTTTGGAAAAGTATTCATTTCTCACACTAATTTCCACATGTCTGTGAAACCATTCCATTTCAGTGTGCCTATAAACCTGCATCTTAGGTAGCTTAAGTTTGTATAATTTCAAATATTTAATATGTGACCAAATTATGATCCTTTTCCATCAATATATTTGGAGAAAAGGCAAAAATTATATGTAAATGTATTTATTTAATATGGAATTATGCCAAATATATCGTTGATTAATATCATAATATCATGAACACAAAGCCAAAACACATTTTACTCCACTAGGCCCATGGAAATTCAAATTACATGAAATTATATTGTATAGATTTCTCAAGGCTATGAATGGTTTTTGAACTATTTACAGAAGTAGGCAGATTTATAGTTCCATCCTATCAACAAACACATCATCTTAAACAACCACGAATTTACATCACCTCATTTTCTCATTTTAAGTTTAGTTTTTTTTAAAAAAAGAAAGTCTTAAAATGTTAGTTTTCTTGAAAGTCCAAGAAATATTTAAGGAAAAACAATGCTAATGTGGAATTTCATTTTTACCATCTCGAATAACAATAATATATATTTACCTTTCATATCCTGCCTGTCCATGATTACGATTCACTTGATTTAACTGTGTACCTTTCTTAGGTAAAGGTATCAGGAAGATATCAGAAGGAGTAAATCCTACTCAAAAGATTCACCCAATAGAGGTACTTGAGCCTGGAGCAGAACATATAGTTCGCCTAATGACTAAGAATTGGGGTGATAACGATAGCATTTTCCAAGATGTAATTGAGACAAGAGGGAGAGGTGAGAAATGAGATTCTCTTTGGGGTAGTCTTAGCTGATACACCTGTGTCCTGTGGATTAAATGTACTATACATTCCATGTTCCAGTCAAAACACAGAGGGTGTCAAATAAACAAGTCACAATTTCCATTTACGTGGGAATAGCATTTCAAAATTCTCAACATGCAAATCTTTGACAATAGGCCAAGTTCTCTCTTACTGTTTTTTTTTAACCAGAGTAATCACTAAAACAATATCATCCGTTAATTGGCATCTGTTAATAACACACACTAAACAGAGAAGAAAAATAAATCAAAAAGCCACAGAATGGCTATGGCGATCTGCTTGTAACTCAGGCAGCCTATGCTTTTCCTTGCTTCCTATTGCTTTAGCCTTTAACATCTGCCTTCGCTGCCTTCCTCATGTCTGTCCTCAGAAGCAAAGGCAAGTAGGGTCCTTCATTACAAAGGAGGGAGTCACTCACTAGTGGTCCCCCAATGGAATGGCCTTAATGACTTTTTTTTTCTGAGATCACTCAAAACCCAAACCTGAACCATGGAATTGGATATTTTGTTGATTTTTAAATGTCTGACTTTTCCTAGAAGTGACATAAAAACTCTAAATAGTTTTTAGAGTTCAAGGGTGTGACATCTCTTTATTCCACAGAATATGCTGGGTTGTACGAAGACATCTCTACTCAAGGCTGGTTTATTGGACTGATGTGTGCGATTGCTCTTCTCACACTAATATTGTTAACTGTTTGTTTTGTGAAGAGGAACCGAGGTGGAAAATACTCAGGTAAATTCTTCCCACTGTGAATTTTGGCTTATTAAATTGTGTTTTCTGGGAGCAACCTTCAGAGACTTTTTAATTTTTTAAATTATAAATGTAATCAGGTTTATATATCCATGTATAGGTACATAAATTAAATTAACTAATCTAAAAGTAGAGGGAGGACCTATGTTACTTCTAAGTAATGATTTGGTTTCTAGTTTCTGATGATGAAGACAGGTTTGTCAGAACTCATGATACTATTAAAGATTCTATTTTCCATCAATAAAATAGAAGAGATACTGAAAAGTCATCTTACTTACCAATTATACATGTTTTTATGTCCTCAGAGGAAAGGTGCTATCCGTAACACATCTCTGTATAAATACATGATCTAGATTTTTATTTGTCAGTTGTGGGGCTTGAACTCAGTACTTGGCCACTGTCCCTGAGCTCTTTTGCTCAAGGCTAGCTCTCTTACCAACATGAGCCACAGCTCCATTTCTAGTTTTTGACTGGTTAATTGGAGATAAGAATCTGATGGAGACTTTTCTGTCCTGGCTGGCTTTGAACCGTAATCTTCAGATCTCAGCCTCCAGAGTAGCAAGAATCCTGTGCCTGGCATGATCTGGCTATTTTGTACTAGAACATTCTACCACTACTGGCTCTACTTGTCAGCTTTGTTCCTGACACTGTATTTCTTATTAACGTGACTTGAAGTGTGTATTCTACTGTCTTAAATTGATGATATGCTAAATATGGATAAGGGCTATGACAGGCAAACATGTAATATTTTCCTTTGCATGAAATTCATGCAAATATATTATTGTCTTTCCCACATTTATAGTTTTGAATGTTGTTAAGATTATTGGCTTCCTATCTATATGTTTTTGTATAAGATAATATTCAGATTACTGCTCAGGAATTCATCCACAAAGTACTTATCAAGAGTCTATCATGTGTATATAGAGCCATCAAGACATGATTTGCAAGTTCTTGTAAAATTGCATGAATGGGCCTGGTGGCATGGGCCTATGATTCTAGCATGGGTTCAAATACAACCTTAGCTGCATAGTGAGTTCAGAGACAGCCTGGATTATGTAGAACCAAATGATGGTTTTATTTTTGTTTGTTTGCTTATGTTGGTTGGATGCCAGAGGCCTACAAGGGGCCTTCAAAAGATTTGGATATTGAAATTAATTAGTAGCATTTTGTCTTCACAGAGGAACCAAAGCTGGCATCTTCCTGTGAGGCTCAATGCCCTTGCAATGTTGAGGACACATTCCTTGGGTTGGGTTTCAACAGACACGTAACCGATGTGTTGTAGATATAGCCACAGAGAAACTAAGACCACTGGTCTCAAATCATTTAGAGCAATGCTGTTTTCTTCACAATGGCTTCAAACCGTCTTTGCCTTACTATCTTTCTGCTTTCTTTGATTCATGCTTAGTGAAAGAAAAGGAGGATTTGCACCCAGATCCAGAAATTCAGTCAGCAAAAGATGAAACTTTTGGTGAATACAGGTAAACCCATGTATCATTTTAAAATACGTTGAAACACATTGAGCAAGTTTTTGAAATGGACAATAATACTTAAGTTATAATGATAGTTACAAAAAAATACATTTTAATGTCTTTGTCATGAGTATTTTGTTGCCAGGAAGGGTCCAGCATGCCTGTAATCCCAGCAGGAGGATCTTGAGCTCAAAAGGAGCCTGAATCACAGAGAAACACCACCACCACCACCAACAACAACAACATTACACACGAGCAAAAACTAGCTTTCATTCTAAACAAATTTACTTATAAGTGACTTAATACATCTTTACCAACGTGGCTTTAAATTCCTCCCCAACTAAAGGGAAAGAAGTTAAAAACAATCTACACGTATTATTTGTACTTTTTCAAATTTGATTCTTTTTAAAAAAATTTATAAATCATTTTAGTTATCAAAAATAACTCTAGCCAGTAATTATTTTAAAAATGCATCACCTCATAGAGCTTTGGCGTTGGGTGAGTAATGAACAAAACCATGAATGAATTGTAGACCTTTTTAAATTATGCTCATTCATAGTCAATCATCACCTTGTCTCAGATACCTAATAGCTTCACACAGAAAGCATTTTCTCCAGCTTGTTCTTGCTGTGTGCCCTTGGGCTCAGAGTTTCTCAACACATTGAAGCTGGGCTACAAAACACCCACACACAACTCCTAATCTCAACCGGAAGATGACATGCATGAATAACAGGAAATCATTTCTCCCTTATTCATAGGGACATGCATCCTTTAGGGCTTCTTCAACATGTAATGGTGGATGTATCACTGTAGCTTTCTGTCTCTTCTTCTGGGCCAGCGTGGATGCCTGAAAAGTAATAGAATCTGTTCGCGCAAAATGAGGTATTTTTAAGGCTTATTTTTGTTTTTGTTGTCTAGTGACAGTGACGAGAAGCCTTTGAAAGGAAGCCTCCGGTCCCTCACTAGAGACATGCAGGCCACAGGAAGTGCTGACAGTTTGGTGGAGTATGGAGAGGGCGATCACGGTCTGTTCAATGAAGATGGATCCTTCATTGGTGCTTATGCTACATCGAAGGAGAAAGGATCTGTCGAAAGCAATGGAAGTTCCACCGCTACGTTTCCACTCCGGGCATAAACACAACACACACACACACACACACACACACACACACACACACACGCACTCCATTCTGGCTCACCCCAAACCTTCCATGTTTATCTGGTCATGGAAGCAAGAACTTTTATGTAGGAGTAGAAAGATGTGGGTAGATTGCATCTTGAATGCAAAACCTGCAACTGTGTTAAGAAATGTAGCACTGCCCTCAAACAAACAAAAATCAAATGTAAACACTCTGGGCCTAGGTTTTCTTTTTATCTCCATTTTCAGGTGCTCAAAATGCAGAACACAAAATAAATCCTGTACTTAGATTCACTTCAACTGAACCCAAAGTGACCATTCAATGTTCTCCCAATCTGCCTGAATGTCCCTTTCAGTGTGTTTGCCTAGATGTTGATATTTTGTGAGTTTATCTGTGTGCACATTTGAATTCAGTTTCCATGAACTGTCTCAGTGGATTTGCTTCACCACAGGTTAAAGGATCAAAAAATACACTGGTTATTTAAAATGTAAAAAGGAATATGAATATCTTATTAAAACCACTCGTTGAATATATAGAGTCTAAATTTATTATGTAAAATTTTGAAAGTAAAATCTTAGGTGAAGAGTTGATTAGTATTTATTGAGCTCCTATTTCTCCAGAGATGGTCGGATTTCCAATGAGTTACCAATTCCAACCTGAGATCATTTTCATTAATAGTATTTGATCAGTTCTGACATTCACAGGCATCTATGTATTGTGTTTTGTATCTGGACTAACCTAAGCTACAAAGGGAGCAGCGGTGAAAAATTTATTTTATGAACAAGCATGACATATCTATTCTCTGGATTTATCTGTATTTCTAAGTTGATTGTTTCTTTTCTATCTTGTATTCATATGAGGGTATGTCCTCATGCAATTTGCAAATGCATTGTATATATTATGTTAATATTTACATAATTAAAATATAGTGTTTTATTTTGAAGGGGGAACAAAACATGAATAGGCAATGCTGTACAGGTAGAATATAATATGTTGTCATTTTCATCATTCCAAGGCTACAGCCAATAACAAGAGATTCTGAAAGTGAAGGCTTTGTATAAAGCATTTAGATTCTGTTCTTATGAAAGTTTCTTTCAAGCAATTTCAAAATAATATATATATATAAATACTGAGGGAAATGTTTCCATATTTTTCAAACTAAGTTTTTGTTGTTGTGTATACATTTACCCTAGACATCAATAAAAAAAAACCTATTGACAGTAGAATTTCCTATACATGTTTGTCTATATCAGATTTTAAATGTATTTATGGTGAGATTATTATTTTTTTCTTTCTGTCAAAATTAGTATAAATTCAGAGAGTTTATTTCCTGGCATGCAGGCTACTGGTCTTTGGAAATGGTAGAGAAAAATGTTTTAGCAATGGACTATGCATACATATCATAAAATGTAGAGTTTAATTTCCTCTTTTATAGAAATACATTTTTCCCTCACCCTGAAATTATTAACTATGTTTAAATGAAGTTGAACCACAGAGTTTTCCTTTATTTTCTAAGCTGTCATTATTGATGTATGCTGTTAAATCCTCAGTGTTGATTTATGTTACCCATAATATTTCTTATGGACCAAAATTAGGGGCATATATGATGACTGAGCAGTGCACTAAATCACACATAGTATCGAATTGTCCTTTATAACCTCATGTGTCCTTCAAAACATGTAGTCATGATGTAGTCAGTATGTATTATTAAGTTCGGTTTTTTTTTCATTAGCTCAGATTTTGGCCATACTCCTGAAAGGAAATCATCAATGGAGGGAAGTATCCTTGATCCTCCATCCTGTGTAAAACAGGGTCCACACATCTATCCCCATCTGATTTCTAAGGGTACGACTTTTCTGGCTAAGAGTCATTATGTATTGACTTCTCCTGGAGGCACTCGTGGTGTTCAGCTACTGAGCAGATGAAGGTTGGGACTTTCAGGTTTCAATTGTGCTATTTATTTCTTCATCATTAGCAAAAAAAAAAATGTAGTTTTCAGTGGGTCACACAAATTAGAAATCAGTCAGAAGTTAGCACAAATACTGGAATGTTTACTCTTAGGATTCGTTGCCTACATTTCACTTTTTGATAAATAAGGACTTTCCTAATCTTGTTTTCAGAGTTGGTCCACACTTACAGACATGCAAAATGAGATGGGATTATGGTTACCAATTGCTTTTATTCTTTGGTTTCCTTTCCTCCATACCTCTAGCTTCTGCTGGAAATCTTCAGCACAGAGGGATAAAAGGACCATGATTTAATGATGATAGAAAATAACATGATTCATATGTTTCAGGTACTACAGTATGTCTTAAAAAATTTTTAAATCCATGTAGGTAAATAAAACTCCATGCTATTAGTTTCTCTCAGAAGGTGAGAGGCAGAGTCTGTGATGTGTAATGTGGGTCATCAATGGGTGATAATTGCTTGTGAAAATCTCCACTGAACGAATAAGGCAGTAGACATGCAGAACTCTGCTTAACTGGCTTACAAGTGTTCTGTTAGTCTACTGCAATATATATCAATGTAATGGATTGTATAGAGTCTCAAGGATTGCCAAAGGGGAATTATCCAAGCATCAGGAAAATCCATGTTCTCTTCCTTCTTCCAGCACCTGATTCTGCACATGAACTTTTAAGCAAGTTGTTTAACTCCTTTGCTTCAAACTCTTTCCACTCGTAAGTGCTAATGATAATTGTCACAGGGTCTTCTTTTGTATGAAGTAAAGTTTGCAAATGATAAAAGCGAAGATGCCTTTTAACTTCATAAACCAACCAATGATAACCCAGTGATGTATGGAAAAGTCACACTGTACACACAACAACCCAACTTTTTCCTGTGAGTGCATAAATATATTTTTATAGAAAAATCTACAGAAAATAAATTAAAGCTGCCATTGTTCACTGAACGGTATGATTTGCACATGCCATTGAAAATAACTAATCCGAAGAAAATTAAGCAGGGTCTTTGGTAAACAAAAGGGTTTCCCACTAATCTCGCATGCCTATTTATAAGAAAAATGTGAATTTGGTGGGTTTATTCTATTGGTATAAAGGCATCTGATATTTTCGATGTACCCGTGTTTATAAAAACAAATGTAGAGCACAATGAAAGTATGCTGGGAATCTCAAATAATATTTTTCGTCCTATTTTATACTCATGGAAGAGATAAGCTAAAGAGAGGACAATAATAAGAAACATTGGTGTGTTTTTCTAAGCATTGAAAACATAATTGCCAATTGAAACCCCAGATGTTTACATTCCATTAAGATATAATCCTTGTAACACTTTTCAATTGGTTGTAATGGAATTGGTTTGTAATCTGTGCTAGTATCTATTCTAGTGTTCCTGTAGTACAATAGGAAGGGTTGAGCCAAAGCTTACATTGATTTGTATCTAAAATGGTTTGATCGTCATTAAAAGAGATGATAGGGCAGGTTCACCTGATTATCTTTTGAAAACTTAGATTAATATTCCTGGTAGAACTTTAATTACAATGTGTTTGTGTTGTAGGTGGTGTTTGTATTGTTTATCAATATGTATGGTTCAAAGATATTTTCATTACACATGAAATTCAGCTTTCCAAATAAAAGTTCAACTTCACGTACTCTGAAAGAACATTTGTATTCTTTTCCCTGAATGCCCCATTCTCTTCCACACCTTTTCCTCAATAGCCTTGGGCTCCCTCCTGTGTTACTATCCCTTCTATCCATGACCAGTTAAAATATCTTTTATCAACTTCAGATACTTAGCAAATTCCTGTCTCAAGACTTATTTTTTCTTTTTTGCCAATCCCTGGCCTTAAACTCTGGGTAGGCCTGGGTGCGGCCCTTGAACTCCTTTTGTTCAAGGTTGGCACTCCACACTTTGAGCTAAAGCACCACTTTCAGCTATTTCTGTGATTAATTAGAGCTAAGAATCTCACAGATTTTCCTGCTTGGGCTGACTTCGAACCAAGATCCTCAGATCTCAGCCTTCTGTGTAGCTAGGATTACAGGCATGAGCCATTGGCACTTAGCTTCAAGGCTTTTAAATATCTTACTTTCCTTTTTTCACTGGTGCAGTTTGACTTACGTTGTGTGGATCTGTGATACAGCCTTGATGTATCTTATTAACCTAAACATTCCATAAGGGCGGGGGAAGGACTTTCGTTCTTGCAAGAGATACCAAAGCACCTCGCTGAAGGCTTGGTATATGATAGGCAGGGGCTAAAGGTTTGCAAAATAAAAAAAGGAATCACAAGGCAGAGATGTCACAAATAATGAATGTATCCAGAGAATGTGAGAAAATACACAAGAACCGCTTATGTTTGTACCCACCCCAAGTGCTTTTAGCCCAGCGTGCTGGATCTTTATGCTGCACTAACAGTCAAACTCCAGCCCTGACACATGTACCACTGAACCAAGTTCCCCATTCTTGGGAACTTTGAGACAAAGTCTTCAAATGTAGCCTTGCTTGTGCTCAATCTCAGTAACCACTTGCCTGTGGCACCTGGGTACTGGGATTACTGACTTGTGCCAAGATGCCAGGCCCTAAATTCTAGTACTTGGTTTCTCTCATCTATGCAAGTAAGCCAAGCCAATAACATGTGAAACATTCTTGAACCCAGTTTTTCCGTCCATGTCCAAAGCCCAATCCCGAACCTTGTACAGACAACAAAACATTCCAAATCCAGTTTCTCTATGGTCATTGCTACCCCCTTACACTAAGCCAACATCACCCTCTCTTTCCAGTCACTGGTCATTATACTTCATTCTTAACCCCTTCTCCAATCTATAAAGCAAGCCCAGTGTTGTCAAACTGTAGAAATGATATAGAAATCATTTTTTCCTCCAAGTCGCACGTTCTAACCACATGACCATATCAGAGCTGCCTCTGCCTATGTATCTATGGCCTTCTTGCCAAAGCAAAGCTTGCACCCATTCTGGCCTATTTCTGGCATTCATTTATACATAAGAACATCTGTAATTACTATAATTTTATCTAGAATGTTGTTCTAAATCTTGTGTCAGCTGGTTTGAAGTTATTTATACTATTGCTGTAAAGTCACTGTGTCAAAAGCGAGTTCCGGTTATCAGCTTGAATAGGGTCAGGTCCTATGACTGTATTTCATTTGATTTCTTCATAGCCATCATCAATATCTGAATTCATACACTCAAGTGTATACGTATATAAATTAGTTTTTCTTCTTGGTCCTCGCTATAGTCCAAGTTCCATGAGAACAAGAATTTTGTCTGTTGTTTACTGTTATGCTGACAATTTTGTTCAGTAAATCTACAATCTGAAGCACAAATGGGAACAATGCAATAATTCAAAATAAGTGAAAATCTAATTAGTCTGTGTATGAAGACCTAGTGACCTGGACTTGACTTGAACTAATCAACTAGTACATGAACAAAACTGAATACGGAAAGCTTCACTGAAATATAAAGAATGACTTAAAAATAAGGACTGAGGCCTAAGCCCTCTCTAACTTTTCAGAAAGAGAATTGTCAAGAGTTTTGCCAAGTAGAGATGTAAGATTACAGTATAGGAATCAATAAACAAGCAAACAAAAGAAACAACCAGGTGGTGGTGGGTCACACCTGTCATCCTAGCTACTCAGGATGCTGAGATCTGAGGATCGCAGTTCAAAGCCAGCCCCAGCAGGAAAATCCATGAGACTCTTACCTCCAATTAACCACTAGAAAACTGGAAGTGGAGCTATGGCTCACAGTGGTAGAATGCTAGCCTTGAACAAAAATGCTCAGAGACAGCACCTAGGCCCTGAGTTGAATCC